TATAATATAATATAAAATAATATAATAAAATATAATATAATATAATATAAAAAAATAGGAATAATTATATATATAAATATATATGTACAGTATATAATCATTTCTATTTATAATTATTTCTATATATATATATTTATATATAAAGATTCTATTTTTCTCCTGAGTATCTTCCAAGATTTGAAGTAAGGCACAGCACAATTACAAACATGTAAATGTATCTTTCTAAAAATCCTAATTCTAGGAAAAAAAACTATGAAAAGTAGTGAAAAGTCAAAGTCAGAAGAAAGGAAGCTGTAACTTTTGTGACATTAAGGGAAAGAAGTGGAGCGGGAGCAGCCAACAACAAGAGGAAAGAGAAAGCCAAAAGGAAAACGAATCAACTCTGACCCTGAACACAGCGGGCAGTCCGTTCAGCTTTCGGTCTCCTGCAAACATGATCATCAAAGAGAAAAACAAGAAAAAAAAAGCCAAGGAGAAAAATACCGTACTTTGACCGAGAACACAGTATGTAGTAATATCACCTTCCTGTCTTCACCAGTAAATCTTCCCTCTCTGCACAATAAAAACAACAAAAAACACACAAACATTTCCACTCAGAGGGTGGCTGTTCCCTTCTCTTTGCTGTCTTCATCATTAAAAGAGTAAATAAAACAAAATATCAGATTATAACATGATCCCAGCAGTCAAGGGCATCTGAAATATTTGTGGGATTCTCTTGCTTTTGCTTGTGAAAGTAATTGTCGAGCACCATGAAGAATCCCTCGAGTCACCGGCAACGTGGGTCATTTCTATCTCGACTGCTCAAGTGAAAAATAATATCTCAAATCAGCTTGGAGAGTTTGAGAAATATCAAAGCTTCGTCTTCTCTGAAGGCCTATTAATACAGACAGTAACATTAATCAGTCGTGTCACGCTAAAAACAGCAGTAAATACGTTTTTGCTTTATGTTTATGATTTAAAAACCTATGTGAATTGTGTACATAAATGTATTCCACAAAAAAAAGCACCAACCTTGCTAGTGTCTGTAAAAATCAATTAATTGTATACCTTTCTGATTTACTAATGACCCATTATGGAGAAAATATTGTAAAATTTTAGGCCTCTATGGGACCAATTTTCAAATCTTCCATCTCTTAAGTGTAAAGTCAGAACTCTGGGCAAACCACCTCAACATTTTGAATGAGTTTTTCCCAGTTTACAGATTCTTATTGCCTTTCCCAATATCTAACAGGGGATTTTCTGAGACCAACCACTCATCTCAAAGCTTCCTATCAGCCAGCAGAAAAACGACAGGAATGGCCTTAACAATGGTCCCCTCTATTACTTTCCAACCCGATATGTGAACACAAACAAACTAATGGTCTCAACCGGGCAGTCTAATAATAATCCTGTAGGCAGGGAAGGCCCATTCCCTCTTTTTCCTTTCGTCAACTTCAATGTTTTATATCCAATCCTTTGTCGTTTCCATTCCCGTAGATATCTTGAAAGTAATCTTTTCCATTCTTGAAAGTGTTTGCGAGTTATTTGGATTTGGAGGCACTAGAGATAATAAAGCGTATGTGGGAGAACAGTCAAAAAGGGAATTATATTCCATCTTTTAAGGCCTGACTTTACATTTGAGAATAGGGACCTATAATTAACCTCAAACACTTTAGAGTAAGGGGAATCCCTAAATCTTTAATGGACTGAATATCCCAGTTCCAATTGTACTTTTTTCTAGCTCTTTTGATGGATTAAAGTTGAATGGTAATTTTATTAATATTAAATTTATGGGCTAGAATATTGGCCGTATTCCTTTGCCCACTTCGTCAGTGCTCCTAAGGGTCAAAGCTATTAAAAAATCATTAGCAAACAGGGACAGTTTTTTCCCTCCTCTGACAGTTATTACAGCTTTTGTCTGGCCTCTGTCGAATCTGTCGAAGGGCTCCATAAATAAGGTAAATAGGAATGGTGAAATATGAAAAAAAGAATAAGTCTGTCTTTATTAACTTCAATTCTGGCCATGAGTTTATCATAAAGTGTGGCCGATGTTTTAATAATAGTTTAATGGAATTTTAAATATGGGAGCTCTCAAATAACGCTTTTCTCTGTATCTAAACTTACTAAAAAACAGCCCAATTTGTGTGTTTTTATCTCTTTCATGATGGGTAATATTCTGTTGATACTATAATGGGCATACATTTTTTTAATAGCACTGTGTATTAGAAATGGTGGTACTGATTCCAAATCTGTGAAATTAAGCAGGTGAACAATTTGTAGTCAGTTTTTAACGCATTTCTAGGCAGGTAACTTCTACTATTAAATGAGTCCGTTCCCTTTTTTTTTAAAATAATAGAATAATGTTGTACTTACTAGATCCTGCATTACCTAATTGGTATCACTTAATCATATATTATTCTATATATTATTAAGTTATTATTTTGACTGTCTATGACAGGTGTATTAGCTTTTAAAAGTCTTCAGTTTTTTGGTCATTTGTTCTTTGTGTTTGGGTCCATAGTTGATAATACTTTTGGAATACTGTTTCATTCTATCAGGAATTGTGTCTAATTTATTTGTTGAAAGATTTCATAATTCATTATTGAGTCTGTCTGCTTGTTGTTTTTCTTCATTTTCATGGTAATTTTCATCCATTTTCAAATTTGACTCCCTCCACACATCCATTATTCCAATTTCCTTCATTAGAGCTCCAGACTGCATCAGAGTTATTAGCGTGATCAGTTTTTGGGTTCAGCAAAATATCAAAATCATAAAAAAGCTCTTGAAATTTCATCATCATTGATTTGAAAACGGATTTGTAAAAGGTCTAATCACTACCACGAAGAACATATATGTTTATAGGACCCTCATTTGTGATTTAACCAAACATGTCTACCCTCATCATATCTGTATTTAAAAAAAACAAAAACAGAATCAACATTCTTCTTCCTCTTTCTGATTTGAAGAATCAGAAATAAACATGTTTAAATTTTGATTTACTTAATTTAGCATGTTCAACATTAACAAGATGCTGTTCCAATTTCCAATCGCTTTTTCAATTAGGTCTTTCTTTAATAAGGTTAGGATCGTTAGGATTTTCTCTTTTAATTGTGTCGAGTACACCATTTAAACTGAGGAAAGCTACAATTATTGTTCTACACATCCAGTAATTACCCCCACCACTTAGCCCAAACGTACAACCCAAAGCTGGTAGTAACACACAATCCCTCACTCAGTCATTTGGACTCCTAACATGGTGTCGCATATAAATGTGTCCCCCTCATCTTCCTATAAGGACCTGATTTGGATTGGAACCAAGTCTTGTGCCGTGGGATTGGGTTGATCAGTTCTATATCCTCTGACCACACACTTACGAATTAAACTTCTTCCAGTTTCTCCCTTTATTTAATCTTAGAGACGTCTTTTATCCAGATTCATTCTGTTCTCGAGGGCTGTTTCGACTTGATTCAGGAATTTTCCATTTATTTCAACAATGAATCCTCTCGACCTTGTGTTTTTTTTTCTTTTCTTATTCAAACTCAAGCTTTTAGTGGGTGTTTTGACTCATTTACTTTAATCTACTATTAATTGTTAGAACTTGAATTATAATTCTTAAATATATACACACAAATATACATGTAGACTGTATAGATGATATATTATCATATCGTATATATAGGAAAGCTGTGAATAGATGCCTGATAGACTATAATTAATTCAAGATAACATAATAATTCTGACTCAGACGCCTGATAATTTAGCTAGATGGCAGGAAAAAAAAGTTATTCTGACATAAATGTAGTTCCAATTTCCTCTGAGCTGCAGCAGCTGGTGCTTTGCCTCTTGAACTTGCATGAGGAGCATGTCAAGGAGGATGGAAACTCACTCAAAAAGACCGAAATACCAGAGCAAATAGATAGATAGCTGCCTGAAAGCTCAGATGAGTTGTCAGTCAGAGTACCGCTGTCAGCATAGGTAGTGATGGAGATGCACTTTAAGGCTCCGGGTCTATGGGTGTATTAATGTCTTCCATATACTGTATTGATCCTGCACCACACTCCTCTTTCAAGGAATGCATTACATGAGAATTACTTTGCTTCTATTAAATGAATATGAGCAGTAGAATAAGTGGATGATGTTAAGCACATGCCCCAGTGAGTAAATATAAATATGCAAGTGTTTGCCGGCACTATTCCTGTCAAGGAGAGGTCAAGGTTTTCTAGAAGCATTAACCGGAATGAGGCAATTCTCGTGCTCTCTACAATTCTTCACCATTTTCCAAGCTTTTAAGCTTTTTTGTGCATTATTTATTCTTATTTCACACAATGGAAGAAATGGAAAAAAGAATTAGGACACAAATAAGAGTCCCGGAGGGTACTACAGGTAATAAATTGCAGTGTATTATTTGATATTTAAAACAATTGTTCAGCAGCAACAACAAAGATTTCATAGAATGAAAGAAAAAGACCAAAAAATAAACTAAACTTGTATAAACTTGCAGAAATTTGGATCTTTTAGCTTCCTCCTGAAAGAAAGCTCTATAAACATTCTTCTTGTATAAAGAATGATCTTTATTTCAAAAACAGATTTCGACTATGTTAAGGTTTTAAAATGGATTTCTAGTGGGGCTTTGCTGAACTTATTTAAAGGTGTATTTTCTTGGTGAAAGACTTATTACCACTGCTGCAAAAATAGTTTAAGGTCAGGCTAAAGGCCAGATTCAACTAATAGCTGCACTTGACAAAGCCACTTTACACTCTTTTATATTCATTTAAAAGCAACATTACAAGGTGAACTTATTGTAGTTAGCTGTGTAGGACCATGACTTTGACTAAGGACAATTTCCAAGGTGGTTTATTATTGTCACCTATAAGTAAGAAAGATACTCACTGGAGCCTTTCTGTATGGATTTTGCATATTTTCTATATAGTTATTCTCTATTTTCTTTGTCTTTCTCCCATACATTCGTAATTCTAAACTGACCTAAGAAGCACGGTAAGTGTGACCACTCATAGTTATTAGTCTCAGCTGAACAGATTTGCCAAAAATAGAACTAGAACAGCTTCACAAGTGTCTAAGGTATTTCAGAATCATCTGGAAAGCTAGTAGAAAAAATAAATACATGTCTAAATAATGTATTGGAAGCCTTAGGATCTTTGTTAATGTTACCATGAAGAATCTAAAAAAAAAAAGTCAACTTTTAAATTGGGCCCAGAAAAGGTTGTTGGAACATTAAGACAACAAAGATACACAGAACGAGACCGCACCGCTGAATTTCATGCGCCATTTCCTTCAGTAAAACTGAAGACAAATCAGTTTTTAAAAAAGTAGCATTTTGCCATGACATTTAAAAACTAAACCTTCCAGTTTCAAATGAGAAAATGCAAATCATCAACAACAAAATAGCAATGAGCAATTTGAAAAAAAAGCACAATGAACCAAACAAAAACTAGTAAAAGAAGATATTAAATCTATACAGGTACAAGGTATGGGTAGAATAAAGGTAAAGTCACGAAAAGGTATCAAATTTATTAGAAAATGCACAGCTGCAAATTTTTTAGGAGTTTTTCTCTTCTTCAAGCTGTGAAGACTTGCTTTACTTGTCATGTTGTCTTTCCCATCTCTACTGTTTCTAAATGTTGTCCTCATGTTAATTTGCCGGGCTTAGATCTGTCCCATGGTGGTCAGAATCAATCCATTTTTCGTCAATTTTCCAATGAAAGCTTTTCCATCTTGCTGTTCAATCATTTAGTACTTATTGATATTTTTATCATAAAGCATCTTTTATGTATTTTTTCTGTGTTTACGTATTGCATGGAAAACCAGTTACAACTCATGGTTCTGACATCAAACAAATATTCACTATAAACAAAATTGGGAGGTTTTAATATACTTACTAAGATCAGACAGGCTAAGCCAGATAATGAGCTACTTTCGATTTGAAAAACCTATGTAAAAAAATTAACCAAATTTTTCTGTGATGGTTTTGAAGGTGAAGATACTCAGAAAAAGTTGTTATTTGAATGTTTTATATACAGAAAGTAAAGAAAAAACAAAAAAAACATTCATATGTGTACCCTGTCAAAATGTGGGAATTTCTTACCGGCCACGGTCACCCTCGCTGTCCGGCTTACGATGCTCCCGTGTCCGTCCAGCGTGGCAAGGCACTGGTACTCTCCCTCGTCCGGCCGATGGTGCCTTGAATGCACCACGTTCTGCACCAGCAGCGTGCCGTTGGCCAGCTGTCGCCGGCGCTCGTCCACCACGGTGCTGAGCAGGACCCCGTCTTTCCGCCACGTGATGGCCGGCGGTCCGGCCGCGGCCCAGTCGGCCTGGGCCTGGCAGTCCAGCTGCAGCGTGCCGCCCCGCACCGTCACCGCGTCCTGAGGCTCCCGGGTGAACGCCAACTCCACGAAACCCAGACTGGACGGCAGGGAGGATGGAACTGAGGGGGGGTCTGAGGCTGTGGGAGGAGAAAGGCAGACGATGAGCGGTCAGATGGCGGCCTTCCCACACGGCGACAGAGATGTTTAAAGTACTGGAGTAGAGGAGTGGAGTAGAAGTACAAGTACTATGTAAAAAATTTTACTTGAGTAAAAGCAGAAGTATTCTTCCAACTCCATACTTAAGTGGAAGTACGGAAGTACTCTTTTTTTTTGTACTTAAGTATTGCAAGTAGAAGTATTTCAAAAATTGCTACTCAAGTATCGAAAGTAAGTACAAGTACTGTGTCTATTAAGAAAAGGGAGTCAAAGGTTTGATAGATATTGTTTATATTATTTTAAACGTGTGAAAGGCCATACAGGTGTTTACAAAAAACAGAAAACTACATCTGCATTAGCAATCAACAGCACTTCATCTACTATTATTTATTATTCCAGTCAGAATCCTGAGCTGAGCCTTTATGCTAGCATGTAGCATACAGCTAGCCAGCTAGGTTAGCTTTAGCTAACGTTATCATACAGCTAGCCAGCTAGGTTAGCTTTAGCTAACGTTAGCTGCTACGTCCTGAGTGAACAGGGAGAACTGAACTAGCGCTTATTTACTAATTTATATGTCATTGTATTTTTTAATTTACCTTGATATGCTTCTTCAGATTAGAGGGGGAATTTTTGAAGGCTATAATTAACAATCTTTCGGGAGGCTTTTTTTTTAATAGGCTATGCTTGATCGTTCAAATCGCCAATGAGGAGCCAGCTTCACAAACCGTGACAGAGCTATCCATCATTACCTTTACATTTCAGTAACGAGTAACGATTCATCCCGTGAAAAATCGATCGGAGTAGAAGTATTGAAATAATCAAAAATATGTAGTGGAGTAAAAGTAAAAGTAGGGGAAAAAATATCTACTCCAATAAAGTACAGATACTGCATTTTGGTACTTAAGTACAGTACTTAAGTAGTTCTACTTTGTTACTGAACATCTCTGCACGGCAATTATCAATCCAACAAATGCTGTATGAGGGACCAAGAGCACCGAGGACTCTGGGGGTTTGGTGCCATGTTCAATGTACGAAATGCCAAATGAAGACAAGATCAAATATCCTCAGCGAGTGCGAAGGTAAAGGAAACCACCAGCAACCCGAGATCAAAATCAATCATCTTAAATAGTCGGAGCAGCAAAACTGCCGCGGGGCCTAGGAAACCGAGGGAGCCACCAGAGGAAACATGTTTAGTGTGTCAACAATCTGTAACCTGCTCCCAGCTGCCGGCTGTCAAGTTTCCGCGCTGACAACATGCTAATGTGACTACGACCTGTAATGGAGTGGATAATCGATCAGTTGGAAAAACAAAATACACACAATAAACAACTGTAAAAGTGCAGGTAGCCCCTGACAAAGGTGGAAACGCACGCTTTTTAATACACAATTGTGTGTTTCTTTATTTTCGGGAGGCATGTTTTCATGAGGGGGTTGCATTGCGGTTAGCAACGATGCCTCGTAGCATGAAGGTTTCCGGTTCAAATCCTGGCTGGGGACTTCTCTCTAGAAAAAGGCTGCGTTTAGGCTTTGTTCCATCATGTAAAATTGGTAAGCCAGTAACCAAAACTTAACTCTGGGTTTGAGGGCTAATCATAAGTCTCTGTGTCGCAATGTGATGTACAGGTGACCTTCCAAAGGAAAGCTTGGAAGGGCCCCCCCCTACCCTGAGTATTTCCTTGTTGATCATCTGTTCGGTGTCTTTTTTATGTAGTGTTGGATTTTGGCTTAGATGTTTAGATTGTTCATCTACCTAAATTCATGTACAGGGTGTAATGTTTAAAGGTTACTTGTAAATCTCTTTAACTTGGATTAGAGACCAGAGTATGGATCCTTCAC